ATAAGCCGTGCAGTTTGTTTTACATAACTTTGCATTGCATGTTGTTTTATGCTGTAATAAGACAATGGGTTACCAACAAGTGCAGGATAATTTGGACAAGCTAGCTCTTTTGGTACTAGAAACTAAGGCATAAGGTTTAAAGACATTCTTTTAAGGTCTAAAATCTATCCAAATATTTGTTTCCCACCTTATATTAAAAATTTGTTTTTGCTTTCTGCGTATGATATTTGTGCGCAGTATTAAGTGCTATCAGCTGGGTGTTTGCCCAGTCTTGTTGTGTGTTTTAAAGCTGCTGCTTTGATATTAATCATTCGCTTTTTATGACATTTGCCAGTGCTACCAGATTACTCATTATACAGTACCAGAATCTAAATATCAATTATGTCTAAACTGTCAATTATGATCATTAGTGGTCCTAATCCAGATCCCGTGGCGCTCCAACAATAGTTTAGCACCATAATATCGGAATGGTTCTTGTAAGTCTTCTCCCGCATGACATGAAGTGTTGGATTTTGTATGTCTCCTTAATATTTTCATTAATCGATTTACCTCTGACTCTTCTTATTCATCTAATTTCCTGTTGAGAAGCCGCTCTTTATCTCTCAGTCTATTTTGCTTATGTCTATGATGTCTGTGATGTTCATGGAACTGAGAGTATAAAAATCTGGAACTTTTATGGAGTGTAGGGTTAAGAACAGTACTGATTGCTCCTCTCAAATGTCGAATTAAAGAAAAATAAAATCCATGCAGCACAGTTCAATGCTCAGCCAGTATTCCTGCAAATACTGTAATAATGCATTACTTGCAAGGCTTACCTCTATGCAGGTATGTACAGTGCCTTGCGAAAGTATTCGGCCCCCTTGAACTTTTCAACCTTTTGCCACATTTCAGGCTTCAAACATAAAGATATAAATTTTTTATTTTATGTGAAGAATCACCAACAAGTGGGACACAATTGTGAAGTGGAACGAAATCTATTGGATTTTTGAAACTTTTTTAACTAATAAAAAAATGAAAAGTGGGGCGTGCAAAATTATTCGGCCCCCTTGCGTTAATACTTTGTAGAGCCACCTTTTGCTGCGATTACAGCTGCAAGTCGCTTGGGGTATGTCTCTATCAGTTTTGCACATCGAGAGACTGAAATTCTTGCCCATTCTTCCTTGCAAAACAGCTCGAGCTCAGTGAGGTTGGATGGAGAGCGTTTGTGAACAGCAGTTTTCAGCTCTTTCCACAGATTCTCGATTGGATTCAGGTCTGGACTTTGACTTGGCCATTCAAACACCTGGATACGTTTATTTGTGAACCATTCCTTTGTAGATTTTGCTGTATGTTTGGGATCATTGTCTTGTTGGAAGATAAATCTCCGTCCCAGTTTCAGGTCTTTTGCAGACTCCAACAGGTTTTCATCCAGAATGGTCCTGTATTTGGCTGCATCCATCTTCCCCTCAATTTTAACCATCTTCCCTGTCCCTGCTGAAGAAAAGCAGGCCCAAACCATGATGCTGCCACCACCATGTTTGACAGTGGGGATGGTGTGTTGAGGGTGATGAGCTGTGTTGCTTTTACGCCAAACATATCGTTTTGCATTGTGGCCAAAAAGTTCGATTTTGGTTTCATCTGACCAGAGCACCTTCTTCCACATGTTTGGGGTGTCTCCCAGGTGGCTTGTGGCAAACTTTAGACGAGACTTTTTATGGATATCTTTGAGAAATGGCTTTCTTCTTGCCACTCTTCCATAAAGGCCAGATTTGTGCAGTGTAAGACTGATTGTTGTCCTATGGACAGACTCTCCCACCTCAGCTGTAGTTCTCTGCAGTTCATCCAGAGTGATCATGGGCCTCTTGGCTGCATCTCCGATCAGTCTTCTCCTTGTCTGAGCTGAAAGTTTAGAGGGATGGCCAGGTCTTGGTAGATTTGCAGTGGTCTGATACTCCTTCCATTTCAAGATGATCGCTTGCACAGTGCTCCTTGGGATGTTTGAAGCTTGGGAAATCTTTTTGTATCCAAATCCGGCTTTAAACTTCTCCACAACAGTATTACGGACCTGCCTGGTGTGTTCCTTGGTCTTCATGATGCTCTCTGCGCTTTCAACAGAACCTTGAGACTATCACAGAGCAGGTGCATTTATACAGAGACTTGATTACACACAGGTGGATTCTATTTATCACCATCAGTCATTTAGGACAACATTGGATCATTCAGAGATCCTCGCTGAACTTCTGGAGTGAGTTTGCTGCACTGAAAGTAAAGGGGCCGAATAATTTTGCACGCCCCACTTTTCATTTTTTTATTAGTTAAAAAAGTTTCAAAAATCCAATAGATTTCGTTCCACTTCACAATTGTGTCCCACTTGTTGGTGATTCTTCACATAAAATAAAAAAAATTATATCTTTATGTTTGAAGCCTGAAATGTGGCAAAAGGTTGAAAAGTTCAAGGGGGCCGAATACTTTCGCAAGGCACTGTAAGTATGCAACTCTAGGAAAAGGGAGATGTTTGTATAAACCAAGTTTAAAGACATATTGTAGGTTTTTGAAGTTTAATGTGTTTGACGCTGAACCCCATCAAGTTTTGCTTATTACTGTAAGTGCATTTTGGCATCATTGATGACCACCAGGTGGAGCAATAAACTCAGACAGTGGCCTCTTATGACGCTGAGGGTGAGGATGAAAAAAGCATATAAAACGGAGGCAAAACAATTTTTATTTGCTTGTTAGAAAAAAGTATGTTTTACTGTATCTGTTTTGTGACAAGGAAAAACGAAGACATTTAACAAGCAACGACCCAAGATGTTGAAATGGTATACTACAGTATGTGATTCATATTTTGATAGAATGGCTGTAGAGCGTTTAAAACATACAAAGATTCAAGAATGCAAGAACGATTTGAGAAATAAGTATTGAATGGTATATGCTAGGGCATTAGGTACTCACAGTGACTGATTTTCTTCAAATACTAATATAGTAGTTTGGCAGGTTGATGTATCCCTCAATTGAAGCAGTGAAGCCATAAATCCACTTCTGAAAGGGAAAAGAAGACAAATCACCTGGATGAAAGAGTGGGGCTCAAATCACTGCAGGGTTTCTCCACATTTTCAGAAACAGAAAGGACAAACCTTTCTCCTGGGTTATGTACTTCCTCCGACAAAAGCTACTGACTTACACAGCACTCCTCACTCTATTGTTCAACCTATTGTACCATGCCAGTAAAAATATTTCTAAAAATAACTAGTTTAAAACGAACAAAACAGGACTGTCACATTGTGGGCCTGGGCGATAAGAGCTAGTTATTCTTTTTAAATCCAAGACGTTCTTCACAATTTGGGGGTTTGAGGTGGTTCTGAGGACTCACTGGGGGGAAGAGATCTTAAGAGAAATAAAGCTTGGATGAGATCAAAACTTTACATCTGGGTGCATTGGAATTTGAACACCAGAGTGTTCTGAATCAGTGAAGGCCTCTGCTCAGGGACAGGTTTGGACCATTTACTTTGTTGCTTATGTGGACTTTGGTTATGCCATTGCTATGACGGACTATGGCCAGGACTTCCAATGTGGCGATGCATAGTTGGACACATGCCAATGGTGCTGGTGTGAAGTGTCTTCTGCTTGCTGAGCAACAGCGACATGTGCTGGAGAGTTTGCAGAGGATTATCGTTGAGAGCTGAGGTCAGACAAGCACAGCACTTCCATGGAATCAGCAGACGACTCTCTACAAAGAGCTCTTAGTTGAGAGTTGTGAGCATTGAGATGCATTGTCACTGGCCTTGGCACAGGTTCGATTTTAAATCATCATCCTGACCCTGGACAAAAGGAGACAAAAGAATTGATCCCTTTAGACAAAGCAATGGATTTTAACCTGAAATACAGTAAATTCTTAGTGGCAGATGAAAAGTTGACATGTGGGTTGTCATGTGAAGTTACTCTATTATCTGTAAACATTTGTGGGAGAAAAATAAAAATACATTTTTTGTAATAATTTTTTATATTTTGTAATAAGCTTCTTAACTGTCATCCTCAAGGGCCACAGTCCGGCAAAATCCAGTTACAGTATAGGTCCCTTTAATGAGTTTTTTCTTTCTAGTTTTAATAAGCTTTTGTTGGTGGTAGTACAGAAATAAGGTTACCCACCTTGATGTTAAGTAGGTAATTGGTCCTTTATTTACTGTACATACTGTATAACATTTTTACAGCTATCTAACCTTTGCCAGACCATCCACTTTTATAAATTGATTTCTCTTAGTGCTGGAGTCTCATCATAATTTTAAATTTTGTTCTACAAAATACAGAAAGTATGAAACAAATCTTCTTCTAATCAATTTTCAGAAATACTTCAATCCCTTAAACTATTGAGAGACAACAGTGCATTAGGTGGAACTTAGGGTGACTTAACAACAGTTGGCAACAGTTCTATAGATAGATATTAATCGTGGGATGTATGAACATCACATTGCTATGACTCGCTTCAGTTAGAAACAGAATGTCTAAAGAGCCTTCATTCTGCTCCCTGTTATTTTGTGAAGTTTAGCATTCACAGACACCTCTCTCAGACAATTTCTCTCTTATTAGAGCTCATCTCTGTGTTATATCTGTGCCTTGAGTGGTGAAATTGGCTTAAGGTCATTATGAAAAATATCATTTGTCTAAAAACAAAATAGTGATATGAATTATGGAATATATGCAAATTAAATCATGACCCTTTTCAATGTTTGAAGCACAAAATGTAAAGAGATTTTTAATTCTGCTTCACATTACATAGAATAATAGATTTACCATCCTGTAAAGAACGAGAGGTTGTTGTATATACTGTACCTTTCCTGGCAGCAAACCTTTTGCAGCATATGGGCTGTCAGAGGTTAAAAGCAGGTAAGGTTTTGAGGTACAGTATATTGCAAGTCTTTTATCTTTTCCATTTTGAAAAACAGACCACTACCATGAAAGACGTATCTTCAATTCAAACACAGCCTGTTCAGTCTCTTTCTTTTTTTCCCCCAATGATCTTGCAGTGTGCTGGGCCCAGCTGTGACTTTCAAAGTGCGCTCTAACCCACAGAACATTTCGACGGCAGATGTGGCCAACATTGCAGGTAGGATTATTCTTCCAGTCTCACCTTTTCCCAACCCTTTTGAAGATATTTTAATGGCGCACATGGTTTGCAGAAAGACTATTTAATACCAGAGAGGAATGGAGGGAATCCTCTGGCGACATGTGTAAAAACTGAAACAAGATGAATTAAATACAGGATGTATTCACATTTTATCAAATGTAATATTTCTTTGGCTTTAAAAAAAAACAACTAAAACCTTCTACATGGTGCTGTATGTTGTGTTTTTTTTATTTATGGTCTTATCTGGCAAAGAACACGAGAAGAAAAAGAGCATTATAGAAAGGCAGAAAACCTCTTGAAAGGTTTAGGAAAGAAAAAGACGAGAGAAAGGAGGGTTTAAGTTATTGCTTACAGTTGTTTCTTGCTTTATTTACACCAAAGCCTACCCACTGGGAATTCAGCAGCAGTAAGGGCAGATAGGGGGGCACATTGTTGTAGTCAGCGATTTTTTTTCCTAAAGTGAAAGCTGTAATCTTGCGTTAACTCTTTTCTCATTCAGGGTAAGGTTAGGTTTTTCCGAATCCTGTTTACTTTCCAATTCTGCCTACCATGTTAACTGAAAACCCTGTCCTATTCTCTATTATGTGCACTTTAGTATACACTAACCTCCCCAAAAATAATGGAAGGTACTGTAGGTGGTGCTTAGATGCTCCATGTGAAAGGACTATCATAGTGGTCTTCGTTTGGAGAGGAAAAAACATTTTAACCACCACTGATACAATCCAACATAGCAATTTAGCTACCCCCTACAATGCATGAAAATGATAAAATAGGCATTTTCAATTCCTTTCAGAAAAGTGAAACATTTTCAGAACGAAACCATTCATCTTGCCAACTTGGGTATTTTATTTTCTCAATATCTGTATGTAAATTGCCATATTTATTATCTCTCAGGACAAATTGATAGAATACAGAGCCACAGACATTCTTGAATCTTCCCTCCTTAGGTTGATTGTTCAGACAGTCCTTGATCATGTCTTATTATGAATTATTTTCCCTAGATTGTACATTATTATATAATCTAGAAGATTATATTTTCATTAGGTTTGAAAGGTAAGATGTGCACATGCTTCATGTGTAAGTAATTTTGAAATAAAGGCTTACATACTGGTTTGATCAAACATCTAAGGAGCAAGGGTCCCAAGACATGTACAGTAGAAAAAAACTGATCTGTTGTGAATTCTGGTTTCCAGCCAACCTCTGCACTAGATGGCCTGAAACAGTACGACTGCTTTGGAAATGTCTGATGATAGAACAGTTCTCAGTACAGAAAAAAGTGCAGCTCATCTCCAGGCATTGTCTGACCCCAGATCAGCAGAAGAGTCAGATACCCTAAAGAATGCCCCCTGCCAGATCGTGATACCCAAACCAGCATTTCATCACATAAAATCAAATGTCAACACAAGACAGCAACAAAAATATTATTTAAACAATAAATTATTTTGTAATTAGCATTTTTGTTTTATGGGTTTATACTTGAATATTATTACCAGTTTATTTTTTTTAATCCTTTATGTTGGTATCTATAAAATTTCTTAGTTCTAGAGCATGAAAGGATGTGAGGATCATGTACCGAGTTTTATATTAATTTTTATTCGTTTCTGGTATTTTTTGTTTAGAAAGTGGAGAGGGGGAGCAGATGTAGTGATTCGGACACTGTAATCTTTAAAAAGAATTTCATTGATTTATTCATTCTTTATAACAAAGTTGCTGAAAATAAATGTACTTTTCTACAGAAATGCAAATTGTGATACTCTTTGCAAGCCACTGTCAAGTAAATTAAAATCTTTTGGTTCCTTGCATACTGTATACTGTATCTCTATTATTTATGAAAGCTTTTGCATTTTTGCATTTTGAACACCAATATTGGGTATATACCTGGCAAAAATGAGCCCAAATGGAAACATTTCAGTTTTATCAATGGTTAGTACCCTTGCTTTAAGCCTGAAAATAGTGTTTGTTGCTTTTAAAGTGATAAAGGTAAGGTAAATTTGGGATGAGTTAATGGAACTTAAAGTGCTTGAACACCCACATCCCGATAACCAGGAGGAATTTGTTCATTTCCTGCCAGTAAACTACAATAAACAAACATTCTGTGTGCAGTTCACTGCATCTATGACCTGTATTGCTACTGTATGTTTACTTGCAGAGGTATTGTAAGTGGCAAAAGACATTGTCCTCTATGGCATAATAATGCCATGTCCCTATTCTAGTGATTATTAAAGCTCAGGCTGCATACTGTCGGTTTGAAACTGGTATCACAATGTTTACTTTATTGCTGAAAAAGGGTTTACTGAAAACAATTACTGTAAGAACTTGTTTATTTTATGAGAAATGTATTTTGCACTGCTGTAAATACTGTAAATAAAGACAAACTGAATAATATATCCTGGAATGTCTCAGACAAAAAAAATACAAGAATTCAGGGATTCATCACTAGCTTATCCCTAAGGATGCCAGAAAAAAATATATATTTAATTGTCCCCCATTTGGCTGTTAAAAGCTGTGTAGTGGTTTTTCATGAAAAAGCATGCAGTGCATTTGCTTGTCTGTTTATTAGCTCGTAAGAGTTTATATATTAAAAATAAATGTACAAAAGTGTCATGTTTATCTCACCTTTACTAGCAATTATATTAAAAACCAAAGGATATCTAAATAGAATTTCTTACCTTTCCCAAAAAGCTGAGAAAGATAGGCATTCACTTGTCTGAGCTATTTTTAAATCTGCAGCAGCTCATACCATGAATAAGAAAAATAACTGGGAGGTCCACATTTGTGGAGGCTTGATAACAATTACCTTTGATAGCTGTTCAGCCAGAAAACCTGGTAACAAAAGCCTGTTCTGAAGAGAATTCTTTAGGGGTGAGAAAAAAGGAAATAAATTAATTGCTCCATAACAAAATATTGGAATGTTTATTGAAATCATTTTCTATGCACTGGGATTGTAATGAGCGAAGGTGTTGATGAAATGTGAGATAAAACTGCCAATTTAATGCTAAACTATGTAATTAAGCAGCTCTGTGCTGTGTATACTGTACATGTGAAAGTTTAGGATTTCTTTCCTTTATTGAAAGCATGCACTTTCGAATAACATACTGTATGGGGGATTCAAAGGCAGGTCTAGCTGGTGAAAGGCTCTATAAAAACATATTTCAAGTTTGATTTTTCCTTAATAGTTGTATATATTGTGATTATTAGGAGGAGTAGTAGTCATTTTAAACTGTGTCACTTGAGACAGATTTTTTAAATAAGTTGACCTTTTTTCCCTTCATGAAGCTGAGCTATTACAAAACATTTCCATTTCATTGTCACAGTGCCTTCCCATTTTTGCTATTTTAATGTAAACATAACATCCTTTTAAAATATACATCTGGATAATAAATTAAAATTAAATTAAATGTAAATGGGCTAAATCGTGAAGACACTCTGCTTAACTTTTCGAGAGACCTTTTATGTACTGTACTGTAAGGTGTACATTATATTATGTGTACTATTTGGTAAACATACTGTATGTTTTACTGTATTTGTCTGCAAAGTTAAAAACCTTGACAAAGCTTTCTTAATGTATGCTTCCGAAAGCTTAAATCAAGTAAATCAGATTGGTTTGTTTACAGCAAGATGGAATCTATATTGATCTACAGTATATATGTAGCTGAAAAGCAGTGAGTATATTGTACAACCATGCCCAGTTTCATAGATATATTGCAGTACTGTATGTGTCAAAAGCTTTTAGAGGTTTAAGGTTTAAGTACTTGGGTGTTCTGAAACTTTTTATCATAAAATATTTTTTAAGCACAAGACACAATTTTAATTATTCTTGTAATTAAACTTTAATCACCTGGCAGCAATTTCCTAACTTTCATAATTCTAGTTTGAACATGTTTTAGAGATTAATTTTACCCCAGTTTGAGTTTACTTTTCTTTGTGTCCAACAGTGTGTCAGAAAAACTAATAAAAATATGTCCTTCTGTAAAAGTAAATAATAATAATTAGCTTTGTTGAGCTTAGTTAACTCATAGGTAAAATGAGGAGGAATTTAAGGCTCAAAGTGCCAATTGTCCTCTTGTTTCTGAAATAGAATAATGTTGTTGTTTTGTTCAGTGAACATATGTCTCCGTGCAAAATCAACCTCAGTGCTCTGTGTCGTTTTCTAAACCTGGTTCTGCTGAGAGCATAATGGCAATTGTCAGCAATCAGTCATACTTTATCAAAGCAGCTCTGCACCCTTTGTATGAACTTGCAGTAATCTGTCATTTACTCATCAGCTGCAGTAAGGTAGAAAAACAAAGCCAAATAAATTATGCCTGCTGAAGAAGTTTTGATTTAAATGTGATGCAAACATGGTAATACAAATCAATGTTTGTCAACAAACAACATTTACAATGGGGCTATCTTTATTTACAGAGGCATCTCATTCAAAATTGTTCAGATATTTGTGGTTTATTGCGTACAGAGGTTTAACATGAAAATAATCATTTGGAGATTATTTCTCAGTAAGCTTGTTCCCTGGTTGTGCCTCGTTTCTACAAGACTATGACAGACATCTGGAACAAGAAGTCATGTCAGCTATGTAGCACTTTTACTCTTGTTTAATATTGTCAGGCATCAAACACTTTATTTCACTATAAACATAATTTAATAATCTGAAAGTATATGGAATATGAAAGAGTTGTGATAAAAATACATTGTTTTTTTTTGTCTTGTTGGTCATTTGTAAATTGTTTAATCTATATCACGGTTAAAAGAAAAGATAAAAAAGTTTTTAAACATTATGGCAAAGGTCCCTTATGTTTTAGAGTTATCAGCCTTGTTTTTTAATGTTATTGTCAGCACTTATATCCTGGACTGATTAGTATTCGTTAGGATTCACGCTGTGCTGAATTATCAGAGTACAAATACATAAAATATGAGTCTTCACTAAAAACAAATTCCTGTGCCACACAGGAGTCCAGCAACCAGAGCTCACGTTAGCTAAATGA